GGCTGCATCCTGATGATACTGGAAGTTGTGTCTCAGGGCAACTGGGCAGAAGAGATGCATTCTGCCCAAGTTACCACAGACAGAGGGAGAAAAGAATTAATTATTTATAGCTCTTGCTCTCAAGGTGGATTAATTTCTTTTTTGGGCAAGGACTTATGGCATTCTCAGTTTTGTAGCCCTGTTCACACGACAAAAATAACAGGATCTGAATGGGGTTAGTACTGGACAATCAGTTTAATCTACTTTGCTCAGGAGGCTTAGTCTTAAATAGAAACCCTGATGTTGTTTGGGCCTGTGTGAATTGTTGAGATTCTAGTCATGATAGCAGCAGGATGTAACTGTGTTAGATAAAAACAAACAAAATATCCCTATGCTGCTCCATAGAGACCCTGAAATCCTGCAAAATGGGGTTTCTCCAGCAACTCCCTTCCGCTGGTACTTGGTTTTTCATCCCATCCCAGGCCACAAGCATATGCCTGTCTATAAATCAAGGGTGAAAGAGGTGGTTTTCATAACTCTGCTCACTATAGTTTCCACTCCAATTGAGCGTCCATAAATTTTTCCAACTTATTTTGTGAGGTTTTAAGAACTTAAGAACAAATGGCAGGATAAGACAGTCTCTCAACCTTCTTGGTGGGGCTTTTTGCCAAGATGGCCACTCCCCATTGGCTTGTAATTTGTTGGTCATTTGCCAGTGGCTCTGAGATAGCAGCGGACCAAACCATGTTTGTCTGTTTACTTATTTACCAATTTTATGCACTGCCCAACTCACTGTAGAAGTGATTCTGAGTGGTTTACAACAGTGGTTCTCAACCTTTTTAATGCCGCGACCCCCAACCTGTCGTAAGTCGAGGACTACTCAACTGGTCGTAAGTCGAGGACTACTCAACTGGTCGTAAGTCGAGGACTACTCAACTGGTGCAGCACCGTTTGCAGAATGGGACTTTTGGCGGGCTTAGCAGGGCAGAGGCAACCTGGACAATTCCTATTGGCTTTTGAAAGCCAATAGAATTAGACTCTATTCAAGAGAGTCTATTCTATTGGCTTTCAAAAGCCAATAGAATAAAAGGGAGTAGCACAGTTAAGGAAATGGGGGAAAAATGGCAGACTGCGTTGTTTGGTGACCCCCGTGAAATGGTCGTTTGACCCCAAATGGGGTCCCGACCCATAGGTTGAGAACCACTGGTTTACAATGAAACACCAGAAAAAGCACAACACCCATACAAAAAGTAGATAAAGTTTAAAAAGTTCAAACCACCCACCAACCCCTGGGTTGTGTATCTCTCTTGAATCCCCATGCCAATTGACAGAACCAGGTTTTAACACTTTTTCAGAAGACCAGAAGAATGGGGGCCAACCTCACCTCAGGGAGCAAGATGTTCCATAAGGCAGGAGCAAGAGCAATGAAGGTTCTTCCCCTAGCCCTGGCAATTCAGAATTCTTTAAATGATGGGATCCATAACATGCTCTTTCTGCCTGACCTGGTGGAATCGGTCAATATAATTGGGATGAGATGGTTTCTCAGGCAATCAGGCCCCATGCTATGAAGGACTTTAAATGTCATAACCATCACCTTAAATTGGACTTGGAAACAAACTGTCATCCAATGCAGCATAAGCTCCGTCTTACCAGGATTCAGTTGAAGCCTATTGTTCTCCATCCAAACCCCCACATCCTCCAAAACTGTGAAAGAACATGCACAGCATCACTTAGTTTACCCAGGATAGAGATGTACAATGGAATAACATCCATATACTGATGATACCTTATCTCATAGTGATAAATCAGCATCTTAATGTAGATGTCAAAAAAGAGTAAGAGAAATCATCAAGTTCTGTGAGACCCCACAAAGCAGGGGCTATGAGCGGGACCTCTCATTACTTATCAACACTAATTGGGACCAGCCTCTGAGGAAAGTAGTAAATCAGTACAAAACTGTGCGCCCCCCACCTCCAACTTCTGGAGCTGACCCAAAAAGAATACCATCATCAATGGTACTGAAGCCTGTTGAAGTCAGGAAAATCCAGGATGGATGCACTATTCTCATCCTGCTCCTGCCAGAAATAATCCAAAACCGTGACCAATGCTATTTCTGTCCCATATCTGGGACAGCAATCTGATTGGAGGGGTCCAGATAACCCATTTCATCCAGGATCCCTTGAAGCTGCAATACCACTGCCTTCTCAACTACCTTCTCCTCAAAAAGGAAAATAGGAGATCGGGAAAAAATTGTCTAGAATCGTCAGTCCCAGTAAGGGTCAATTAGTGCTTCTTTAAATGACACTGGAAGCCCGGCCCATCCTTCAAGAACAAATTAACCATTGCTAATTCATCACTTATTGTTGTGTGAATACAGCCATTGTGCATATTCTGTAGGTTTGTGTGTACATGTATGAGCATGATTGCTTAGGTAAAAAGGTTTGCTATAAAGCTGCATGGAGTTTTTTTTTTGAAAAGAGAATTTAGAACACAGCAACAGATACTGCTAATCCACCAGTTCCAGCATTTCTTATCTAAATTATTATGGCCAGTAAGCATGAATATAACAATGCAGATAATGGAATAATAGAACAGTGCTCTGACCTGAGTAAATTCTGAACTTGGGGCAATTCTGGCCAATTCAGGGCAGAGTTTACTTACTCAGCCAAGAGAGAACATTCCAATCTGCACTATCCTGGTTCAAAAGGCTCCATAAAGTTCTTGCCCAGATTTGTTGAGTTCAATAGCAGTAAGGAAGCCTATCCCAAAATATTAGGGTTAACTTGAGAAAAGTACCCTGATAGGAAAGAGAGAGAGGGGGAAAGAAAGCAGCATATTGGATTCAGGGACTGACAGAGTGTCCCTTGCAATAAGGCCACCACTGATTGCCTCTACTCACTTGTCTTGAGACAGCTTCAGAAATTTGGAAGGGAGTCTTACCGGTAGTTTTATTGTTTGATCCATTTTATTTCCTATTCTTACAGTTATTTGATGATGTTGAATGTTGATGATGTTTTGTGAGCTATTTTAGCTATCTGATTGGCTTAACAACTATTTTATAAAAAGAAACAGTGAATTAATCTCTTGTACTTCTCTCCATTCTCACCCCTTCAATCAGCTCTATCACATCTAGGAGGAGGTTTCATTATTTCTTAGTATTAATCCTTCCTTTGTTCAAAACTCCTTCAATATATCCATTTTAGGTTTGTAATGGTATTCCTTGTACTGTAATAGGAATACTTCCTTATTATCATTATAAATTTTCTCTCATACTGACTCTAAAAAAATAGCTACGAGCATTAGAAAAAGTAGTGAAGCTTGAAACTCCTACATCTTTTTTTTTGTAAAATACAATGCATTTTACCTCCTCACTGTATCTAAAATTCTTCTGCAAATTTTGTCCTGCATAGTTAAAAAAATAGTCAAAAACTATAGCTGCCATTAGATATTTTTTTTTCCATTCTAGCTAACAAAATGGCAGAGCTCTCTGGTTTTCCTAACTGCATTTTAAACCTGGGATATGTTACATCTAAACTGACCTGAGATAGGATGGGCTACTTTAGGAACAACCAATCTATCACTTGAAATGAATTAAATGGTCAGTACCAGTCTTACTGAAAATCTGATCAATAATTATCTGTTAACAACAGTGTGAAATCACAGCTGCCAGTTCTCTGGTGTTGGCCTTGATACACATCAAGTTCATTCCAAGAACTAGGATACTGTAGCAATGTATCAACGCAGTATATATGCAAATCCAAGCAATGTCCTTTTGCAATTGAAGATGGAAATTGTGCAAATGCATGGATTTTCTAAATGCTATCCAAGTGTGTTGACTGGAACCACCATGGCTGATTTATGCCATAATCATGAATTTTGATTTTCGTATCTTGATACTTTGTGATCTTCTCAAATTCTTTGCCTTCTATTATCTACATCAATTATCCACACTTTCCTTTTTTTAAACCATAGTTATATCTGGTGTGTTATGAGTCAGGATTTTGTCAGACTATATTGGGAAATCTCACAATATTTTAACCTCCTCTTTTTTCCAATGACTTTTTCTATTATATGTTTCCACCAGTTTTTCACTACTGGTATATGATAATTTTTAAGATGTTCCAGGGAATGATTTTGGCAACTTTGTTATGTAATTGTTTATGATCAGTTTATGTGATCTTCTTGCACAAGCTGAGTATATTTTATCATTATTCCACTTTTTCTATATATCCCAAGGCAACGTATATACCTAATACTCCTTCCTCCTCCTTTCTCCTCTACAACAACAACTTTTTGGGTGGGATGGGCTGAAAGAGAGTGACTGGCCCAAAGTCACCCAACCAGTTTTCATGCCCAAGGAAGTCTAGAACTCACAGCCTCCTGATTTCTAGGCCAATACCTTAACCACTACACCAAATGGCTTTCATAATGTCCAACATACTGACAAATAGCACTTCTATATTATTGCCAAGAAAACTACATGGATAATCAGGTAGTCATTAGAAGGCACACTAAACTTAAGGAAGTCTTTAACTTTAATCCAGTGAGAAATCCTGCAGAATAATACCTAAAATACCCCATCCTCTAGCACTCTGCCAATACTGCTGAAAATATATTGCAAACAGTCCAGTTTAAGCACCACAATCATTTTCATCTGGCAATAAGGAATCATAATCTCAATATTCCAGGAAAAGGAGAGATTTTTTTTAAACACAGAAAGGTCCTTTACCACCCATGCAGGCCATTACAGGTAATCCTTGAGTTATGAATGTAATGGAGACTGCTAATTACATTCACAACATGAAGATTTGTAGGAGTGAATCATGTAACATGAATGTGATCACTCCCTGCTTTCGCCCATGCATTTGCTAATCAAATGCACGGTCTTAATGCATGAGATATCTCAGGGTGGGGAAGGCCATGGGGGACCTAGTGCTTCTAACCACCCAGGTCCTCCTCCAACCCATTGAGACATCTCATGCTTCCCCCTCCCTCCTATCCTACAGGACCGGGTCACTTACCTTATGTAGATCTCAATGATCAAGGGAACTGTCTTCTCTCCAGCCTCTCTGCCCTGGTTTCACCTTGAGCAAAGGCTTGCCAAGTCCTGCAGGGGACAAGAGATTGTATCTCTATAAGCTCCAGTTGTCTTTGCAAAAAGCTTTTCACCATCGAGAATGGAGGCCAGGAGGGATGCACATGTTCCTATGGGCCTCTGTTTGAAGTTACAACATAACTCCCCCAAGTACTTACGACACAGTCCTGAAGTTATGAATGTTGTAGCATCATGGCAGTTGTTCACCCTTATGAACAACCGCAGAGGCACTGCAACATTCACCCTGCCTATTTCTCCCCACCAAGGGTGGGTCTCAACAGGCACTGGGCTTGTGGATACTCAACTTGCAAAGATCTAGCGAGCCTTCGGTTTCTTGTCCTGGATTGGTGCTTCAGGCCTTTGGCGTGGTCGCAGAGAATGGAGGCCTAAAGTATTGCAAGATCAGTAATGTGAGATCTCGTACTACTGATCTTGCATGATCTCATGGTACTTTAGGCCTCTGTTCTCTGCAAACGGAAGCCTGGACAAGATCTGTGGCAAAAGGCTTTGCAAACAGAGGGAAGGCCTGAAGCCTTTTCACAAAAAGCCTGTCAATGAGAATGGAGGCAGGGAGGGGTGCGCATGTCCTTCCGGGCCTCCATTTAGGGCGGCAAAGTTCTTCCCACATTGCAGCACAAGTCAAAAAGCCACATTTACTGGATTATTCTTCCAGGAAAAGACTCTTCTATTTACTCCTGTTTTGAAGTAGCAATATTACAATAAAGGGTAAAAAGGGAAACCACCGATTGATATTCTTAAGGCAAAATATTTTTGTATTTGGACAACATTGCTTTTATTTTGATGTCCCAAACAAGAGGATGTTGCTTTCTCATTTTTTTCATGACATTTCTTTTAAATGAAATTTTGAATCATCATAGGAAAACATGTCAGTGCCTGATGTTGGACTAGTGAAAGCATGAGGTGACACAGAAGCAACTAAATATCCAATAGGAAAAATCCACATGATGCTTGTAATAGGCACACATCCTATTTTAGGGGAACTTACTAACTAGACCATGTTTAACTTCTTCACCCACAGAATCTATGTTTTAGAAAAGTTAAAATTTTTACTACTATGCCTCTCTACACTTGCTGTGAGAAATGGGCTGAAGTTTAATTTACAGTTTGTTTAGTGACTGTTCGAAGTTACAACAGCACTGAGAAAAGTGACTTATGACTGATTTTCACACTTAAGACTGTTGTGGCATCCCCAAGGTCGTGATCAAAATTCAGAAGCTTGGCACTTGATATTTATGATGGTTGCAGTGTCTCGGGGTCATGTGATCACTTTTTGCAACTTTCTGACAAGCAAAGTCAATGGGAAAACCAGATTCACTTAACAACCTTACTAACTGAATGGCTGTAGTGATTCACTTAACAATTGTGGCAAGAAAGGTCATAAAATGGAGCAAAACTCACTTAACAAATGTCTCACTTAGCAACATAAATTTTTGGCTCAATTGTGGTCATAAGTTAAGGACTACCTGTATTTAAATTTCAAATTTTAGACAACACACTACATGGTTCACCACTAAGAGGGTCCAACAAAACTCTTTGCATAATATATTCAGGAAATAGTTGCTGGAATCAATTTGAATCAAAGTTCACTTCAAGCAATTTCCCACTTACTGGACTGTAGTGATTAAAAATTGATACAGCCAGCAACATGCCTCATTCCAACTATTAAAATCCCAATTCATGAATAATGGAACTGAAAAGGGCCGTTTGAATCATGACCTAACATGATTGTAAGGCAGTCAGCTGGAGGATTATAAGCTTTATCTTGGAGTGCAGCTAATGGGGAGAAAGAATTAAATGCAGTAACAAAACAGCTGTTACTTTATACTTTTGTTTTTTTTAAAAGACACAGTTAAATTATTGTTATATTTTTGGTTAGTTTGTCAAATTGGTTTTGTGCTTTTAACTTTGCAAGTTGTTCAGCATCATGCATGTGAGATGGGCAGCTAAAATTAGACACAAAGAGAGTTTTCCCCCCATGCCATCACTCTGCTAAACACATAATTCTCACAACACTGTCTTATGCCTAAAGATATCTAACCATGTAGTAGGACTGTATTACTATTATCATTCCCATCTTTCCTATTACCTATTCCTATTGGTATCTTATGACTATCGCTTTGTTGGTGATTATGATTGTATCTTATGATTTATGTTGTATCTCTTTGTTGCATGTACACTGAGATCTTTTGCACCAGAGACAAATTCCTTGTGTCTCCAATCACAATTAGCTGATAAAGAATATTCTATTCTATTTATTAGATAAACTAAAAAAAAAAACCTCTGGGAAGGGACAGAGCTAAGTAGGTGGCAATGCTGAATAGATGGCATAGGTTACAAAATAAGTCTACCTTGCCAGATATATAACTCAGCATTTGTACAGTGCTGAAGTAGCAGTCTATAATTTTATGTGGGATTTGGTTCCAAATTTTGTATTAGTTTATCAAAGTATAAAATACAAAGAAAAATGAAAATAACAGCAAAGTAGAGGAGGAAAAAGGGAAGAGGAAAAAATATAGGGGAAAGGGGGGAAAAGAAAAAGCATTGACTTCTGTTTCGTTTTAGTGCAGAATAAGAATAAGCCTTAGCTTTTTACTTTTACATAATAATATATACCAGCCATTTCTATAATGACAGCCTATACAATCAGCAAAACCCCAAGTCAAAGTTTCATTTTTTTCCACCTCAAGCACAAAATCCAGAAGTAGTTTCCAAGTGGAAACAAAATTATCTCTATTCTTTTCTTTGATTAAGATGAAAAACAGAGGAGGGGAGAAATATTTTCCATCTTGCAAGATTCTGTTTATTTTATTTTACTTATTAAATTTAATTACTTATTAATTTTTTATGGTTTCCATCTCTCCTATAAGCTGATTCTGGGTGGCTTACAAGTTATAAAACAAATAGAAAAATAATTAAAATATTAAAACATTAAAACTACACAGATTTAAGATTTTAAAACTATACTGAAACCAGAACTAAGAGATTGACAGGTCTTCTTTCTGTGAACCAAGTCCAGCAGCAGTGAGCGCCCCCCTTTAATGTAACCTCTGATGCTCCTGGTTGTGCTTGTTTGGATTACCTTGAAGGGCTAACATCAATCTTGCAAGCCTAGGAAAGTCCCTTCTGAAAAACTTCCCATGCTTTCCCTCCATCTGCAGACTGGCTGTCCCTTATCAGACCATGGCCTAGGCTGCACATCTTTCTCCTCTCTCCCAAAGTCATTCTCACATACCATCACACAGTTCCTCTACAGGCAGTCCTTGTTTAGTGACCACAATTGGGATCAGCAATTTGGTTATTAAGCGAAGTGGTTATTAAATAAAACTGTGACAGTGCTTATGATTTTACTTCAGATTTTCTTTGCTTTAACAGACTACGAAGGTCATAAATGTAAGGATTGGTTGCAAAGTTACTTTTTCATCATTGTCATAACAGCAAACAGTTGTTTTACAAGTCAGTCGATAACCAAACACTGCCTGTATTTATAAAGTGGTACTCTGCTAAGGTCAGAAGGTTTCCACTCTTATTTAGAGTGCTCAATGATGTAAGATGGCATGCTGTTACTGAATCTCTGCACAAATTACTACAGATTTGCAATGCTACTACTTTTTTCTCTTGCTACCATCCACTAAACATTAATAAGCTTCTCTAAGCTTAAATAACTTGTTGTGAACGCTGCTGTGGCTCTTGTTTTATTTCTCTTAGGGGCAAACTGAGTAGCAGATGGTGTATGCTAAGAATTATCTAGTACATAATTATTTTCCTGTCTAAATTTCCCAATTAGGTTCTGAAGTATGTCACAGGATGGGATAGAATTTCTTTTGCAGACCCCTGTGCTTTCTTTCAGCTATGGAAATAAATTTGGAACTATTTTCCATAACTTCCAGCAAAGTTGGATGCCACTCTCATCCACTGAGAAGTTCTCCATGGAAATCTGGAACCCATTCTATTGGGTGAGTTTCCAAACCTGTCATGTTGAGCTTGCTCCTAACCCAAGAGCTAAGAATCTAGAAGCTCTCATTAGTAGCATTTATTAGAAGAAAGATGAAGGTTAAGAATTACACCAGGGATTATATTTTCAAATAAGACACCTATCTGTAGGAAACGGATAGTGACAAAACTCTTGCCCCTTTCCTCCTGTTTTTTTGAGGTACAAGGGAGGAGGCTGGTCTCCTTGGCAAGGCCTGCATCTGTTCATGTTTTACTAACAGCTATTACCATTCTTCAGTATGAAACAAAAATCTCACAAAACTTTTGTAAGAGACTTGTATCATTTTATTTGCTCTAAAGTAATCTTAGAGTCAAGCTTTTGTTTACAAATCGTGTTTTGTCAATTAACAGAAGAGGCTGAGAGTAGATTTTCTGCAGAATGGGCTATTGGTTTGATCTCCGAGTTTGGCGATTTGGCTGCAAATGCTTTGTCTCCATTTGGGGGGACATCTTCAGTGCACTTTGAATTGTGCTCATCTGTCAGAGCACTGGCCTTTAAATACTTTTTTGTGTGATGTAAATTGGTGTGGGGGTTATTTGTCTAGATGTTTCTGAGTCATGGCCTGGTTTCGGGCTGTTTGATTGGCTGGTTGTTGTTGCTTGGCCATAGTCTTTGGTGTTTAAGTAACATCTGTGTGATGCAAATGGTGTTTGTTCGTTTGGTTGCCTCTGAGTCATGGTTTGGTTTAAGGTTGTTTGGTTGGCTAGCTGTTGTTATCGAAACATGATCTGGTTTCTTGTGGCGAGTTGTGATTTTTGTTGCTGTGTGGTGGGGTGCCTGTTTGTTTGTTTTAAATGCTGCCTTCGGGATTGCGGTTGTGGTTGAAGTATTTAAATAGATACTTAAACACCAAAGACTATGGCCCAGCAACAACAACCAGCCAATCAAACAGCCCAAAATCAGACCATGACTCAGAAACATATGGACAAATAACACCAACACCAATTTACATCACACAAAAAGGTATTTAAAGGCCAGTGCTCTGACAGATGAGCACAAT